TTCTCTGTCGCTTAGAACACGGGCCAAGTATGGTATCGTTGAGTTCCTGTACTTGGTTGTACGAGCATAGATTCTTTTATACTGATTTCTGGTTTTACTTGATGAGATACAAGGCGAGAGTTGGGAATAGAGGGGGTGTTGGGGGTTTGAGAGTATGGTTTTAGACCATTTTTCACATGTATTCAGATGCCTATCAACTAAGGTAGTCACGAGCTGGCTGAGATTAACACCACTAGTCCTACTAACTACTGTCAACATCCTTCTCAGGATGGAATAGTCCTTTTTCAGTAGACCAGGAAAGACTAACGGGGAGCAGTAAAGTAAAATAGGTAGGATACAAGAGTTGACAAATTGTGAAAGTAGAGGTTGGGTGATTCCGGATTGTCTAAGTTTCCTAATGTAGTAGGTAAGACAGAACACTTTCCTAGAAATCATTAGGATATGAGATGTCCAAGTAAGGTCAGAAGATATAACTAGACCGAGGTATTTTGCATTAGACTTAGTTTCAATTTTTGTCCCCTCAATGCAACAGTCTTCATGAGAACTTACTAGTGTTTGTAGATCCCGTTTATGCCTAAGGGAGAAGTCGACAGTCTGGCATTTTGAGGGATTCAACATGAGTCCATTTAGTTTGGACCACTCACTGATGTCCGACAGGAAGCTATTTAATTTGAGACAGTCTGACTGAGACTTAATGGAAAACGATACAGACAGGTCATCTGCATATTTGACGAAGTTGACTTCATCTGAGAGAGGTAAATCATGTAAGAAGAAGGAAAAGAGAAACGGAGAAAGAACAGCACCCTGGGGAACTCCAGCTTCAGTAAGCAATGGAGAGGAAGATGCACCATTATATACCGTGTACTGCATCCTATTAGAGAAGTAAGAGTGCAGCCAGTTGATAACCCAGGGCTCAGTTTGTGCTAGGCTAAGCTTGTTTAACAATAGGCCTCTAGGTACAGAGTCGAAAGCAGATGTATAGTCAAGGAACGTACAACGGACAAACTTGGCCCCTTTGTCTAAGGAGGATACAATGTTGTGATGAAACACAGCGGCAGCGTCCAAAGTACTTTTACCCTGTTTGTAAGCAAACTGCTTTGGATCGTTTGAGAAGCTTAAGGAGGGAACAAGTTTTAGTAACAATAGTTTCTCCATTAGTTTCAAAAAAGGAGAGGTTATAGCAATAGGTCTGAACTTAGCATTATTACCAGAGCCTGACTTAGGTACAGGGATGATTTTAATATCTTTCCACAGAGAAGGTACAACATTATTAGAAAAAGAAGTATTACAAATGTTTGTAAGTGGGTTGCTTAAAATATCAGCACATTTCTTTAGGACAATGGCAGGTATACCATCAGGACCTAGACTCTGGGAAGGTTTAAGAGATTTTAAACATTTAAGAACATCAGAAGTTTTAAAGCTATTAAAGTCACTGGTCATGTTATTTGTTACATTGAAGCTAGAAGGTACATTGGGAAGGCGGATAAAAGATCTATTAAGAGTATTTACGTCAATAGAGGGAGAACAAGAACTATGCTTACCACAACCTGTAATTTCTTTGAAAAGCTTCCACATGTTCCCAGGAGTTTTACATGACAAAATTCTTTGATTATAAATATTGTTTAACCTCTTGATTTCGGATTTGATTTGCATGTTTATTCTCCTAAGACCAGCTTTATCTTTAGCCTTGTACAGTCTCTCTTTTTCTCTCCGAAGCTTTTTGAGATGAGGAGAAGAGAAACGATCTATTCTTTTGAAAAGTATCTGTTTAGGACAGCATACATCAAGGCAGAATTTAAGATAGTCAGTCAGATTGGAAATAGTATCATCCAGAGTGTGTTCAGTGAAAAGTTCCCAGTTTGTGTCATTTAACATAAGTCTTAGTTTGAGCACGTTTTCTTGTGAGTAACATCTTTGTTGTGTTTTCCTGGAGAGATTCGAGAGGATATTAGAGTGATATCTGCTATATATCTTGGGTAATATCCGAATAATACAATGATCAGAGTTCATTATAGGAGCACGTCTGCGTGCTTCATATATTTCCGCATCATTAGTAAATACTAGATCCAGAGTTTTATCAAGTCGAGTTGGAAATTTGACAATGTTGACATGACCTAATGATTCAAGAAAAGAACAGTCACAGGTATTGAAATCTCCAGTGACAACTGATAAAGAGTTTTCAAGATGTGTAACCGCGAATGCTGTGAATTCATCGGCAAAATGAGATATATCCGAGGCGGAACATCCAGGAGTAACATAAATGTTTGAGATGAAGACGTATTTAAACTTGGATAAGTGTTTAGGACGACATTTGACTGTAATACAATCAATAAAGTCACTAGAGAAAGAAAAACATACATTATTTGAAGTTGACCACTGAGAATGAATGAAGGTTGCGACTCCTCCACCTCTTTTCTTTCTAGAGCATATTCGATCTTGTCTAAACAATGTGAAACCATTTAGAGAAACCAGGTTGTCGTCATAAAGATCATGGAGCCAAGTTTCTTGTAATGTGACTATCGCAGTATTGTGATAAGTGTCAGATGATAAGAGAGACTGGAGATGCATAATTTTGTTGGGAAGTGAACGGCAGTTTGAACTGACAATAACAGGAATAGTTGTGCGATATAAAGGTGTCCGTTTGAGAGCACGTTGCCAACCACCATGATGTTTTCTCTTAGTTTTATTAGATGCATGAAAATCATATGGTTTAAAACATTTAATGAATTCATTACTGTATTTGATACGATTTGTGACCATATTTTGTTAAAATTAAAAATGGAAACATGATGTATTAGATGCAAATATGTAGATGTACAGAAAGGTAGCCCAGATGTCAAACAGGCCGCCACCGTTCCCGTTGTTTTACTGCATCAAATGGGGTCAATTCTAGAACTATCCATTTGCGCCATTTGCGTCAGCATGGCAGACTGTACATGTAAGTTGAGTAATACATTGATAACTGTTTGAAAACCAGTTGCTTCTTTATTTCAGATCAAGAATACTCCTTGTACAGAATGTTAGCCAGCGTTTTCAAGTGGTTGCATCGGATCGTTCATGGAATTTGAGTTTGAATTGACATAAATGGTCATTTCAGTTTGGATGTTGGGTTGTTCGACCTCAACCAGGAGGTATATAGAAGTTTACGCTCAGCAGGGAGATAAAGTATGTAAATATGAAAAGAACTTTATTATTTTATGTATATATAAATGTTTATAAATGTATATCATTGTATAGTAAACACTACCCATAATCTTGTTGTTTTTTATGTAATTTTGCGAAGTCTTAGAGTTTATTTAGTGTCGTAATATTTAGTAATGAGTCTAGGCGTTATAGTGTGCTAATAGCTCATGCGTTTTGGAAATAAGTGGTGCGGTGTGATTGGCATAGTCATTGGGATGAAGCAGTTTATATAGCAAGCGTTTGAAGGTTATGATAGAGTGACAGGTCCTTATTTCTAGGGGTAAACTGTTCCAGATCTTAGAGTACATGACTATGAAGAAGTTTGCACGGAGTGCTGTTTTACAGTTTTTCCTAGATACTTTGCACGTTTGGTTACGAAGGTTGTAAGAGCCTTCCGGTGAGAACTGTATCTCTTTGCTGTCTGAGAATGATATTTTATGCAATATTTTAAAGAAGAATGTTAGGTTAATGCTCAGTCGTCTCATCCAGAGTGGGTCGATACCTAGAGTTATACACCTTGATGTGTAGTCCTTTTCGCAGTCAAACCCTAGTAGTTTAGACGTGAAGTATCGTTGGACACTTTCTATTTTAAGTTTGTCACTTACGCGAGTGCTGCTGAGAATAAATGGACAATATTCAAGTAGTGGTCTGACACAAGTTTTATATAATAATAGCTTCGCTTCGTAGTTGTGGAAATTCCTGAGTATGCATCCTAGAAGCATCCTCGATTTACGCGTCTGTGTCGCCACTTGCTCGGAAAATGTCAAGTCACTAGAGTACCTGAGTCCTAGGTCAACAACACTTTGGAGTTTAGGCAAGTCGATGGATTCAAGTACCAGTTTAATATTTATTGAGGGTGCACCGAAGCATATCCAACCACATTTTTTAAGGTTGAATTTTAGGTTCCATGTGGAGGACCATGCAGTTACTCGATCTAGTTCTTCCTGAACAGCTTTCTGAAAGTATCCTAAGTCATCACAGGGGAATGTGTAAGCCACTTTAAGATCATCTGCAAAGATGAATGGTTTGCCAAGTGAGAAACAGCTGCATATGTCGTTGACATATAGAGTGATTAGGAGGGGGCCTAAGACGCTACCTTGAACTACTCCAGAAGTGACTGGACTAGGTTTAGAGTTTACAGAACCCAGTCTAACTACTTGGGACCTATTGTTAAGGAATGATTCAATCCATCCTAATAATGGGTTACTTATTCCTAAGGAGTTTAGCTTATTTATTAGAAGCAAATGGTCAACGCGGTCAAAGGCTTTGGATATGTCGAAGTAGATGACAAGTACTAGTTGTTGTTTGTCGCGGCTGCTAGTTATGTAGTTAAAGAAGTCAACGTGACATGTCATGCATGATCTGGATTTTAGGAGTCCATGTTGGTTGGGACTTAGAATATTGCAGCTGAGCATATGTTTGAGGATATCATCTTTAACTATTCGTTCAATGATTCTAGATACTATGGGTGTAATATTGATTGGCCTATAGTTGTTGACTTCAGTTTTTGATCCGGATTTGTGTTTAGGTACTATAAATGTCGTTTTCCATTTATCTGGATAGGTTTGGCTTTCTAGGGACATTGTAAAAATCTTAAGTAATAAAACGGAAATGTCAGAACCACCGTGTTTATAAAGATACGATGGTATACCGTCAAAACCGGCACTAGTAGAGTTTTTAAGAGTATTAACGGCTTGGTTAATATTAGAGTAAGTGAAATGAACTGTAGTGATTTGTTTCAGCGTTGAAGATGAGGGGAGTTCTATTTTAGATTGTAAACCGAGAAGTGGACTTGTAGGCTTAAGGTAGTTAGCTGCAAACGTCTCATTAAACAGTTCACACATGTCTGCATGTTTGCTGTATAGTTTGCCCTTGTTTATAAGGAGAGAAATTTTATGGCTTTGGCGATTCATTCGTTTCTTTAGTATTTCTGTGAGAGCACCTACTCTGGTGGTGCTGGCTAGTGCCGTGCATTCTTCATTTCTCATACGCAAGTTATGAGCTTGCGAGATGGAGCTAAGAGTACTAAGTATTGACCCTAGTGTACTAAAGCCGTGTCGCCTGAAGTAACTTGTTGACAGTCTTTTCAGTTTCCTACGATCCTTTGGCTTTATGAATGTCTTTCTATGTGGGGAAAACTTTAGTGTTTGAAATGGGATGACAGCATCTAAGCATGTGTTGGAGTTATAGTAAAAGATGTCTAGAGCTTTCGAGAGGCTATCAGTATAGAAGTACTCACTCCATTCTGAGGATCTTAGCATTGATTTTACTAGAGTCCAGTCTGCCTTACTGTAGTTCCTGTAAGTTATTTGTTGTGAAGTAGGGGTATGGGTCGCATTGCTACTTGACGGAAGTGGCAGTGCACACAGCACTGTTTTGTGGTCACTCCCTGAAAACTCGGAACCTACTAGGGTAGAAAGGGGACTTATATTGTGGCAGAAGATTAAGTCTAGTACGTTATTACCTCTTGTAGGGGTTGTGACGGTCTGCTTCCAGCCAAGTATATCCAGTGTGCCTAAGAACTTATCAAGTTTAGTTGGACCTGTGGGTATTTCCCAGTTGATTTCTGGTAAGTTAAAGTCTCCACATAGGATCTTATGATCGTAGTGGAGGGTGGACAATTGTTCTAGAGTATTAATAAGTTGGGTCTCGTAATTACTAAAGGTGCCAGGTGCTCTATAGGTGCATCCAATTAATACTATTGCGTTATTTAAGTGTAAGTTAACCCATAAAGTCTGAGGCATGTTAAGTGTACTACTTTCTAGCTGTGATACAGTAAGTGCATTCAGAAAGTACATGAGACAACCCCCTCCCTTACCACCTTCTCTGTCACACCGAAAGTGTGTATAGTTATCTAAGCTTATCTCTTCATCCAGTATGTTCGAGTTACACCAGGATTCAGTGATGACAATTATAGGGGGTTTGTATATTACTGTGAGTGCTCTGAGCATCGGTAGTTTATTTAGAACGGATCTAGCATTTATGAGGATTAGGTAAAGATGAGATTTGAAATAGCATTTGAAGTACTTAAGTTCGTCAATCAGCCCCGAATGTGGTTCAGCACCCAGTAGTACTGTTTGACATGACGACCCTATGTTGAGAGGAGTTTCAGCATCATGTTCACCTATGTCTATCGAGTTGGTGTGTGCTGTTTTCGGTGAAGAATTGAGCGTTGGAGTACTGGATGTGCTATAGGCTAAGGCATTTTTATTTTTAGTAAAGCTAGAAACGAGGGTAGGGATCTTAATTTGACCTAAACTTGTGCATGTACCAATTGTGCTTAGTGGATGCGGGTGAGCTAGACTGTTCCTACATTCATGCAAAGGGGGAGCCAGCACTAGTGGTTTAGGAGTGTTAGCATCCCTACCAGCTGTTTTTTCAACGCTGACAGGGACGCAGGGGATAAAAAATGATTGGGACCTTGTGAAGACCATGGTCTATTATTCCACCTATTGTTAGGTACTAGTGGTGTCCTTGTAAGGGTTTCGAATGTACTGCTTTGTGGGTTAGTTCCCAGCAGACTTGTACCGTATATCCGATCAAAATTTATTAGCGTGCCATACTGTGAATGCCCTGAGTTGTTGGTGGTCGAGTTCTGACTATTGTCACTTGTACTCTTGAGGGTGGCATTGTTTGGGCGTTGGTTATCAGTGTGGGCCGTGGTGCTATTTCGCACGTTGTGGGTGCCAATACTATTGACCGTGGGGAATGTGGGCTTACTTATACTGCCATTGTTGTTGTTGGCATGATTTGGGGTCATATTCTTCTCTTTTTTACCAATGGACTTATGGCTAGGAGAGGAAAGGGTCAACTTTCGGGGGATTTTGACTTTTTTTCTTGGATTATTTAGTGACATGTCTAAATCTACGGTGGTAGGTGGTATAGTTTTATTGGCTATTTGATTACAATTTAGCGGCCTTTCGGTTGGTGTCGCTCTCTGAGAAGATAATTCTGTGTGGTTAGAGAGGGGTGGTGCGGTGGATTCTACGGTGTCTCTCAAAGGGTTGGGTATAATTGCTGCTTGCAATGTCCTATTGTTTATTCCACAGTTAGACTCAGTGTGATAATTATATACGCGCCTTTCTATGACGGTCTTGTCCACCGCAACCTTTACTAGTTTATAATTTCTGGCTTGCAGTGGGGTGTGTTGGGAGTGGATAAATTTTCTGGCCTCAGCAGGTGTTTCGAACTGAAAACGAATAGGACAACACTTTTCATGTTGACTCTTCTTCAGCCTGTAGCACTTAGTCTTGGAGTTGGGCATTTTTGCCTCACTAAGTAGGATGCGCTGTACCTTTTTTAGTGCCTCATTATCCGGAACGTTGTAGACAATAGCATTTAATTTAGCATCTAGTCGTTTTGTTACTTCTGTAGTAACAAAGTTAATTAGGTTATCCACCTTAGATATCGATTCACTGTCAAGTTTGTTAAGGTCTACAGTTTTCATGAGAATAGTTAAAGGTGTCAGTTCACAGACCTGCAGTCTGATATCACTGATCTGACCTGATAAATTGGAGATTTTGGTATTGGTATCGGAAATTCTAGGATCTACTGACTTATTGTTTTTTAAGTCCCTT